CTCTCTCTCTCTCTCTCTCTCTCTCTCTCTCTCTCTCTCTCTCTCTCTCTTCCTGGTAACAGGACCATTTATGGGATGGTCAAAATGGCGATCTCTTTCTGCGAGGCGGGCAGTGTTTCTGGGCAGAAAATGATCGCTACCACTCACATATCCACCAACAGGGCTGCAGATGCCTGTCATGCCGGCTCCTTCACTACCTTCACTCGCGCGGTTACGACTCAAAGGGCCCGAGTGCGTTATGGGGTGCCGAGGTGTCCTGGGTGCAGACACTTGTTGTCGTGGAACTCTGCACGTTGCCCAACGAAAGGACAAGGGAAGCAGTGTGAGGATTACACATGCCTGCAGAGACAATCTTCTGAGAACGTGAAGCATTCATGGCGGCAGCCCATGTGGGGTTTGGCCAGGTCCTTTGTGGAATGCGTCAGAGTTGGAAAACGTGGCCTGCCGCCCCAGCTGCCGCCTCCAGGGGATCGAAAAAACGGATGGGAAGAGCTGATCACGCGTGTCAGGGTGGACGTTGTCCATCGGATTGGTGCGAGGAGCGATGCACGGCGTGCTACGAGGTGCCTGCGGAGACCTGTTTTGCAATTGGACAGAGGACTGCAGCCCTTGGCAGGAAGAGCTGGTGGACGGGGGGTGAACACTGCAATGCCAAGTGTAAGGGTGGTGGCAGGTGAGAGCGGCGCAGGGGATGATGTTGCGGCAGGACCATGTACAGCAGGAAAGGAGAGGTCAGCCTGTCGCCTATCGACGTCAGTGGCCTCATCAAAACTGTCGTCATCCTTTGAATTGATTGATATGAAGCCAAACTACGGGGAGGACGCTGATGACGAGTGGGAAAGTAAACTGGCAAAGGCCTTTGGTCTTAAGATAGCAGCAGCAGCAGCAGCTGCAGGAGAAGGAGGAGGAGGAGGAGGAGGTGAGGATGAATGTGTCCTGTCGGACCCAGTTCATCATTGGAGGAGTCCAGCAGCAGAGGCTTTGAAAATGATCCTGGTGGGAGTAGGCACCACTCTTATCTTCAGATGGTTGGGCATCCCCAGGCCTCGACTTCTCTCTTCTACTGGCATGTTATATGCTCCTATGGCGGAAATGGCCAACAAAAGGAAAAGTACCCAGAATGACAAAAGCACCTTTCTCAAGAAACTGGGGAGAGCTCTTCGGAATTCTGTTGATTTGAACCATTGGATCGTTCAAGATTTTTCAAAGTTGGTTGCTGCGGTGAATATGCTTGAGCCTGAGATGCGGAGGTTGTCTGACGCACAGTTGAGAGCAAAAACCGAGGAGTTTCGTCAGCTGCTGCGTGAAGGCGAAACTTTGAACAGCATAAAGGCAGAGGCGTTCGCCGTGGTAAGAGAAGCAGCGAGGCGTGTGTTGGGTATGCGGCATTTTGATGTGCAGGTGGTCGGCGGGGCAGTTCTGCACGACGGCGCTGTGGCGGAGATGAAGACGGGGGAGGGGAAAACCTTGGTATCGACTTTGCCGGCCTATCTGAATGCACTTACGGGCAAGGGCGTCCATGTGGTGACAGTGAATGACTACTTGGCCCAACGAGATGCTGAGTGGATGGGTCGGATCCATAGGTTCTTGGGGTTGTCAGTTGGACTGATTCAGGGCCACATGACGAGCGAGGAGCGCAAGATTGCGTATGCGTGTGACATCACGTATGCCAACAACACGGAACTGGGTTTCGATTACCTGAGAGACTCCATGCAAGAG